ACAGACTGGGGTACATTCTAGAAGGTTTATTAGAGCAATGCAGATGATATAAAACCTTGAATTGTATGAGACACTGTCTAGTGCAGATAGAGGAGGTGTGAATACTTCCAGGCAGCGTTGCCAGAACCCCTCAGTAATCTCTCATCCAGATTCTGTTCCCAAGATATTCTTGTCTTCACCCATTGCAAAGGATTATTGTTCTGAATCATGAAATATATTTTTGAAATTTTTTTTTTTTTTTTTTGCATTGGGGCTCAGGGCAAGTATCACATCTACGACATTATTTACCAGTGGAGACAGGAGAGGAAAATGTTTGCTGACAAAACTTAAAAGTTGTATAAATTTAAAAAAGTGAAATGTACAAAAAATGTCTTTTTGATGCTTGAACAATAAAATAGTCACATTTGTACAGAAATACTACATATTAAGTATGTGAAAAGTTTGTTATAATGTGATATTTATATTGTAATAACTAGTGCATGATAGTGTTAAATAGAACAACACAAAGTCAGAATAAACCACACATTGTCTTGTTTTGATTGCTCAGAGTTTTATTCTTGCTAAGCCAAGGAATAGAAGAAAGTTTTGCTCAGATGATCTTTTATTATAACTCATTCAGTCTGATCTTATTACAGAGAGACAATCCAGCTGCTGTTTACTTGTCGCTTCATTCCTTAGGTTGCATTAAAGAGAGAAATGATATGAAGAAAAGATGCAGAAATATCTTTTGGTTTTCTTAGGAAGGTGCAGAAAGGCAGGTAAACAGAAACTCCTAGCATTCATCCTCCACTGGTTCTGTTTTACACATCAGGCCTCTTTGGGAACCTCAACGTCTTCTGAGTCTCTTGGCGCAGACAAAAGGCCGACTGTGATTACACCACAAGTCATCCCAGCACTTTGCACCTAAAAGCAAGAGAATAAATATGAGTCGAACATCAAAAACTGAATATAAACTCCTGCTGTTGATGCAGTAAATGTACAGTTAAAACCAGATATTTACATTCACCAAATGATACACAATTTTGATCTTGTCTTCAGTTAGATATGTTCAAACTTCTCTTTTTTTAGATCTTTAAGAATTACCTTAAATTATTTATTTTCAGAAAACTAAACTATTTGAGAGGCCATTTTTGTAATTTTCTTCAAATACAGAAGTTTACACATTTTGGTGAGAAAACCTAAATGTATGTAAACATTTAGGTTCATACAGTTTTAAAGACAATTATCCCTGATACTGGCCAAAATGTATGAAAACATCTGAATGAGAAGAAAGTCACAAAATGAATCTCTAACAAATATTCTTAAGTTTTTCCTCACAATTTTCCAAATAGAAATAATTTTAGTAATTCTAGCCGACCGAAAATAACAGAAGTTTTGTCTGATTTAACTTCTGATGTGTTTGTACAAAATGTGGGTGAAAATAAGCTTTTCACCCACAAGCCCTTATACTAACTGAAAAAACAGACTTGATATTTTCTTTACCTGAATAGTTCATCTGCAAACAGTGCTGGCTGCGTCCACCATTATTAGGCTCTCCTCGACACCAGTTTGTGTACCTCATAGGACTTCCATCGCTCCACAACCAGGTTCTCTCCTAGAATCGTGTTCAGTAGATGACACATTTCATTCAGTGTTTCACAAAATACATAAAGTGTAGTGGCTAAAGTACCTGCTGTGCATCAGAGCCTCCAAGCCATGCTTCTCTGGAATTACGACTTGCTGCACGTATCAGAGCCTGAACCCGGCGGTACTCGTACGCGTTGCGAACTGATGCAAGGTTTGCTCCCATGGACAGACAGTTTTTCTACAGAGAAACACATGAGAATTTTCTGAAGTATTAGCTGGGTTTTGTTCATTAAGAACAGTGAAATAAAAGAGATCAAATGAACATAAGAGAGCAGTTTTGTTGGAAATCACCTCAGCATTCGCCCAAGTCATGGATTTGGCAACATAGCGAAAGCAGCGACCGTTGATTCTAGTCCAGCCACGAGGACACGGCTTATAAACCGGGTAGCAGATACGTCGGAATCCTGACCAACAAATACAGACTTCCAGTCAAGAGGCGTACGTCAGCGGTGAACCGACTCCAGTTTTCTGGCTGATCAACATTTAAAAAGTCTGACCTGCTGATTCCTATTTTAGCTGGAACTGATTTTTTCTTTCGTCTGAAATGTTGCTAAATATACCAAGAAAGTCACTGTGTTGGCAACAGATGGGCGACTTTGTTTAATGAAAATGAGTAGACATGACCTGCTGGGCAGGTTTTTCAGTCAAACCTTTTTCATGGCAGAGCAGAAGAGGACAGTGGTTGATCTTCAGCCCTGAGCTGAGGTGGATAAGATCGGTTTCATCTGTATCAACAGATCAAAGATCTCCCAAAATGAAGGAAACTGGGGCTGATTTATCAGTGAGCCCTAGTGTGTGTGTGACGTTAGTCTTAATCTAACTCCCTCAATGACAGGAAAACCTGTGACTCTTGTGCAAATCAGCAGAGCCATAATCTGGAGCAGCTGTAGATACTTTAACCTGGAGTTAGTTTGTGTTTCTGTGTTTTAGTAACTTAACCAGGGCTTTATAATGAATAAATACTCACTGCAAATCTTGAACCTGAGGCCACTGGTCAGAGCCATCATGGAGAAAACAAGAAGGAACACAGCCAACAACTTCATGATGGAGATGGAGTGATGAGGCACGCTGAAGGCAAATTGAAATAAAGCATACATGTTAATAAAATTCAAACATGTTGATAAAAAGATGAGCAGAAATTTGATCAGCAAACCTGATGAAGGATGATCTGTCTTCTTAGCCAGGAGGAACCTTCTACCTTCACTGCAGAATCACTGGATACTTATAGAGCTTCTGATGTTGCCACAACATGAGGAAATGACACAGATAAAAATTCCTCAGAATTGCTCTCCATAACCAGGTCTAGTTCATACCTTGCCTCATCATTCAGCATTGACCAAAACCAAACCTCATTTTTGTGCTTGTCATGGATGTGACGGTTGCAGCAACGAAGGTTCTTAGTAATGTTGTCCACGAACATTAACCGAAATTGTAGCGACTAAGGCCTGCACTTTAATGCGCCGGGTTGTTAACTTCTTGTTGGTAGCCTTTGTTTCTATGGAAATTTTTCAAAGGTCAGAGTGTAAATCTTTGCTTCCACCTACAATCATAAATGCTATTTATTTTCCTTATAGTCTATGTTTATCATTGAATTTCCACTTAGAACCAAAAGGGAAGATAAGCTTAACCCTTGTGTTTACAAATGGGCTCCATCCGATGCCACACCCATATCACTTGTATCATTTGCCTCAGTCCTCGCAGGCAGAAGGGTTAAGGCCCCACATACGTGTGCATAGTGTCAATACTTTGTGAGCTGGCTGGACTCTGAACGTATTGTCCATGGACATTTGAGACTTCACACTTGACCATTCTGACTGCCTAATTTCTTGTGACAAATTCCTTTATTTCTCACAATCCTAATGAAAACTAGCGAGTTTGATGAGCTAGTTGGACACTTAGCTCTGTTTCTTCTCCATCCGGGAAGCATCAGCTTGAGTGCGGGACAGAAAAGAGCGGTCACATCATCATCACCATCATCATCACATAAAGTCAGCGAGCCGCTGCTGACTGTAGCATCCTGCTGTGCATGCGGCCGTGGAGCAGCAGCAGGCTGCGATGAAATGAACTGCAATCAAATGGAATCTGTTCATAATAAGTTTAGTTTATTATGTTCCAAAAGCACAATTGTGGTTGACGTAATAATTTTAAATCTACATGTGCAGCCATCATAAACGAGCATGTACCCGGTCAGTGCTAGAGACCTTCTCAGAGAAAAGGTTTTCATATTGGAAATTAATTTGGTCGAAGTTTGTAGATTTTTTAAAAGTTGTAGTTTTAATAAAACCTGCAGTTTGATTGGGTAGAAAATCAGCTTCAGGTGACAAAACAAGCTGCCAGGCAAGGAAAAATGCATGGTTACTCTCCTCATCAGATATCAGGTAAACAGCTAAAATAATTGTTTACTGTTCTTCACTACTCCCATTAAACGCTCCACCACTGTCTGTTCCTGTTTGTTAGTGCACCCTGTGGGTTGCTGGTGTCTCCAGTGGGCATTGGGGCCAGGCAGGTAGACCCTGGAAAGGTCACCAGTCCATCACAGGACAACACAAACACACAGGACATGAAACCATCCACGCTCATAGACACATAGGCACAGTTTCGAGTGACCTTTTGACCTAACATTCATATTTAGATGGCCAGGATACCCAGAGAGAACAAACCAATCCCATCATCTACTCTACTGAGCTGCCCACCAAGAAACACAAAACAATTAAAATAGAATAACTAGCTCATGCTGGTACTAGTTGCTACTCTGATGTCTGATTAGATCTTTGCCAGTGATCTTTTCACTGAGCTTCAGATATAGAAAAGGAATGGAGTATTTAGCAACACTAAAGCCCTTCATGGATAGTCCAAGTTTAGCTTCCAAAAATCTAAAATATAATGGAAAGCCAAACATTTGATCATAACATTTTAATTTAGTAGCGATATATAAAACATAAACACATTTTTACATGAAATGACATGGCACAATTACTGGCACCCTCTGCTGTTCATACCTTGTACTGCACCCTCCTGGAAAAAGGACACCCCGTCTTGTCTTATAAGATTTCTCTAGTTTTAAACATAGATGAACTATTTAGGCTTTATCTTCATACAATCTCTTCTGGCTCACATCTGAGTATTTCCTGGACTGCAGGTTAAATCCTGACCTCGATGTCTCAGACGGGATTTTCTTCGTCAATAAAGGAAATCAAGGAATGCCTGGATTTATACAGTGATTAAATTACAAACAGGTGAACGATTCAATGTTTTTGCTAGCTTTTTGTAGCACTTGAATTTATTTAGGAATTTTAGATGGCTCAATATAAATGCACACTACATATAAATCCAATAGATTCCTGGCATCCACTGGGATTAGAGACCAGAGTCGGCCATGAGCTCAGATCCACACGTTTGAGATCTCCTCTAAAAATGTTTTTAGCTGCCATTTTAATAGTTCAAATGCCACATATGCCTTAATATGCATATTAACTCTGCATTACTTTCATTCCAACTTTCATATAATCAAAACAAGAGCCCAAAGACTTTGTAGGGGTCCTCATGTAGGACTCCTTCATGGGGAAAAGCTGTTGCACCAGGCAAACCTTCTGGACAACGAATGAAGAAGTTTTCTCAAAAGCTGTTTAATAGTTGACAACACCAAAATATATGATCTACAGTAGCTTTGTCTGCATGGTATCTCAAACAGACTGGGGTACATTCTAGAAGGTTTATTAGAGCAATGCAGATGATATAAAACCTTGAATTGTATGAGACACTGTCTAGTGCAGATAGAGGAGGTGTGAATACTTCCAGGCAGCGTTGCCAGAACCCCTCAGTAATCTCTCATCCAGAT